CAAATTGAATATCGATTTTGTTCCAAGGTATGTGGAGCTTGTAGTTGAGATTTAGTCTGCTTATTTCTTTCATCACTTCTAATCTGTCGCTGTCCGTAATGTCGAAGATGTTTTGGAATCCAAGAAATGAGTTTAAGGTATCGGCTGTCATGGGGTCCAGAAGAGATATGTTGACGGCAGTTGCGGGGAAAGAGAAGGTGCTTTTCCTGTAAGGTTTAAAGGAGGCAGCGATTATTTTTGGGGCTTCAGGTCCATCGATAGTGGAGCGTACAGGAGTGAGCCAAATTTGTGAATGGTTTCCTAGTAGTGGTAGTTTGATGGTTATAGCTGGACTGGAGGCAATAATCTTGTTTGTTTTTGTGTTTTTGTAAACTATAACTGCTTGTAGGTTTGAAATGTCAGTGATAAGAACATCCAAGAAGATGAACTCATGATTGCTGGGACGGGCCTTGAGGGAGGAAGACCCTCCAGGGTCCTTGGGTGATTTTTTTGAAGACGAAATTTTTTATTTCCTTATATAGTAATTTTTTCTGGAAATGCGTGATGTGGGAAAGAGTTTTTTTTTTTTTGCTATTAAAATATATTCTTTTTTTTAAGGATGAATTTTAATATAATAAAAAAGATATTTAGAATATATTTAAATTGATTTTTATAAATAATATATATATAATTTTCTTTATAATAATATAGTTATAACTAAAGATTAAGATTAGATAATTTAAAATTAAGTTAAAAATTTTTTTTGAAAATTTTATTCAATATATAAGTTTATTTATAAAATAGAAGTTTGTATTACTAAGTTTATAAATAGATTAGATCAATTAAATTTACAGTTAATAATAATATTAACTTATAATTTGAAATATAATTTTAATAAATATCAAAATATCAAAAGTTATAAATAAGGCTCCTAACAATACTACTTTGATACTACTTTGATACCAATTCAATACTTAAATTTACTATAAAAGCATATGAGTAGGTCACAATCTATATATTAAATTTACTATAGATCAGTACTATTTTGATACCAGTTTGATACCAGTTTGGTACTTTTCAGAGCCCTAGTTATAAATAGTTGAACTAGGAATTAATTTAAAAAAATTTTTTATTACTAATATAAACTTTTTTTTTCTTTTTTAATTTTTTAAAACATGATTTTTTTTATACTTTAAATTTATCAAGTTTATATTAAAATAATAATTCTAATATAAGTTAACTATAATGTTAAATTAGATATAAGATTTAAAATAATTTTTATTTTGCAATAATAGTTTAATAAATATATTTATTTATAATAAGTTATTCATAAATAGCTAAATTATATAAGTAATACAGTAATTTTATATAAGAAATTTAGAAATTATATACAATCTATAGATATTTTAATATAAAACTCATATTTTATTAATATATTTAAATTAATAATTAATAAATATCTTTAGATAATAATTAATTAGAAAAAAAAATTAATTTTTATATTGTTAGTAAGAAAAATGCTTGGGTAAGGTCTAGTGATATAATGTTCTTATAATATATCTATTCAAAGCATGGATATTTCTCTAACAAATAGTCTGATGATATAATAAAAAGTCTAAATAGTTTATTTTATAGTATGATAGTCTATGAGTTATAGTATCATAGTCTTATAGTATATTAGTTAGCAATAGTGATAACAATATAAATAAAAGTAAGAAAGTACAAAAAAGAAAACCAAGGAGAGAGTAGACAATATTAATTTCAACTAAAAAAAAACTTAATTAACATCTTTTTTTATTAAAGGAAGCACAGAATAGTTGTATAATACTGGAGTGTTAATTAAAAATTACTATAAGTAGTGGTGATAGATGTGTCTAAATAAGAAATTATTAATTAACTTTCTAAAGTAATATTGTCATGTAAAGATTGTTCTGGAAGTCACTAAAGAGAATTGTGACTCAAGCTGCTTAGGGAAAACAACAAGCAAAAGAAGAGAGTTGGTAATAGTTTAAGATTGGCTAAGTCAAATCCATGCCTCAAGTAGAGAAAGAAGAATAATTTACCCTGACATTATGCAAGTTTGACCCGTCATTAGTGACAGACTTGCTAATTTAACGTCAACAATACTAAATTATATTTTGTTATATATTTTTCAAATTGTTATTTATTTACAATTTTTAATTAGATCAAAATTATGTATTTATTAAAATCAATTTAATATACAGTATTATAATAAAGATATACATATTAATTTATTTGGTCAAACTTACTTTTATTCACAACACTAAATCTTTAAATATAACTAGCAGGTAACTTCACAATGCTTCGGGTATCTATAATTTAATAATTTAATTTTAATAAAATATCGGAATTAAAATTATTTTATAAAAAAATTTCAGTTTGTTATGTAAAATATGAATGTCATAAAGCACATCATTATTATTATTCACAAATATATAATACTAATAAGTGAGTGAAGATTCTAATTTTTCATAATAATTAATTCTATTGATTTTTTACTTTTTCCCTTAATGATTCATATACTTTACATAAACACAGATAGAGAAACTTCGTAATTTTGAATTAATATCTGAAGAAGAAGTAAGAAAACTTTGCTAAAAAGCAAGAGAAATTTTAAGTGAAGAAAACAATATACAAAGAGTAAATGTGCCTGTGATAGTAAGACTATTTTTCATATTACCGATATATGTGCCTTGGAAGTTTATCTAAAAATTTAATAATAATCAGTTAGTTCAGGTCTGTGGCAATATAAGCAATCAGTTAAATGATATAAAAAATATTTGAGGTTAAAGGTGATTATCCGGAAACGAATTATTTATTCTTTGGTAAGTTATCATCGATTCTATATCTGTAATCTTATACAATTTGCTTATATCTTATAAGGGATTTTGTTAACAGTATAACACATTTCTGTTACTTCTCACTCTTAAGGTTACACACTATTCATTATCTATTTTTTCTCCAATGATTTATCGAATATCTCATTTACTCAAGAAGATAATTATTTCCATTTAGGTATGATACCCTAATAGATAACATTAATATATTGTAATTATGAAATAGCTCAAGTATCCAGATTTTATTATGAATGCTTTCGAAAATACAGTTCAGTTAATGTGTGGAGACACTATTGTAATATTTTTGATTATATGAGACTTTCTGTGATTATAGATGGCAAAGTATTTTATGTATATGGGAAATTTTTATCAGTTAAAAATTCATCAGATTCAGAGAAATACAGGTAAGAATTAATTGTTTTATTGCATTATTCATTCATTTATATTTCTATATGTGTACTTATCTACATATATCTATTTATGATTCTATATATACGGGAGATTATTACCATTTAGAAATTTGAAGAAATATAAGTAAGAATAGATTGATTCTTGCATTTGTCTATATTTTTGCATCTATACTTATATATATGGATAATGATTAAATATTCGTATATTTTTTAAAAAATTCCTTTATTACATTTAAATGTAAATTACTGTAATATTGATTTATATGCAGACGGATAATTTATATTTTCAAATTGTTTTGGTTTTCGTGCCAATTGTATCTTTCCGCATATATATATTGCCTTCACTCGGCAGAAATGAACAAAAAATTTTTTTACAAAGAAAACCACACATTGGCATTGCATTCTGCTAATGAAGGTTCTTTACGTATCTGTTTGCATTCTGACTAAGTAATCTATAAGGTTTTTCTTTGATATTATTTGTTTGGACATAAAAAATAAAGAAGAAAAAAAAGTCGATCTTGAATTTATTATTGAGAAGAGTATAGGACAATGATACCATTTTGTTTTTGAGACTAAATAGTAATTCGAAGTTTTTCGGGCGGTTTCTCGCCACTGACAATCCACAATAAATCCTCAACAGCTTCCAAGCGTTGTTTAATCACGTCATATAATTTATAATCTTGAGTAATTAAGTTCCGAATTTCCATAATTGTTCTTATTGCTCTTTTTATTTGTTCCTTGCCACTGATTAATATATCAATAATTGCAATGTTAAGTAGTGCAACATTACGCATTTCTTCTAGCCTTGATTGGAAGGGCTTCTCTTCATCAATATTCACGTCATCTTCATTATAAATAAAGTGAAAAATTTTTGATATGAATTTCTTTCGCGAATCACGAATACGTTCGTCTAGTTTTTTGGCTTCCTTTAGAAGTTCTTCACTCTGCACTCCACGAAAAACAGTAGTCGCCATATTAATTAATTCTTGAGTTGTTAGCCCATTAACTTCTATTCTGCCACTACCCAATACCAGGCCAAGCAAATTTAATAAACAGGCAATCCCATCTGACCGAAAACCATGTTTTATAAGCGACTTTATTATCTCCTTGGGATCAATAATGTCATCAGATTTTTCTAATTTTAAAATAAAAGTGTCTTCCTTATATTCCTCGGAGAGTATTTTGATAAACTTCTGATACTTTCCTTTGTTGTAAGCTTCTATTGCGTTGGTCATTATTCTATTAAGATTTGTACGAATTTTTGCTTCGTTAAAAAGTTGACGACCTTTTTTCCAATAGACTATAGAGCTTATTATTCCAAGACAAAATGAAATAAGAAGAATTGGACTACTTATTGGAGCAGCAGACAATCCTACAAAATATATGAATGATAAAGACGCTAAATTATTACCAATATTCAATGCAGATCCTAACATCCATCCCATTCCCTTTCCATATTGCCAGTTGGTTTGTGTCTTAGCACGTGTAATCTCTTTTTCAGACGTGTAATAACTAACTAGACCCTGATCTGGCATTATTAGATTCCAACTCAATTTTCTAATAGCCTCTTCATTTAGACGTTGATGGGTTTTCTTTTCAAAAATAGAGATTGAATTTCTTTCTGTTTTCAAACAAGATAATTCAATATTGGAATTATTTCCTGATCCAATATCATTACTTTCTTTGGTTTCATCCGCACCTTTGACTTTATTATAGATTTTTCTTACAGAAATCATATCCTGAACTGTTGCTTCTGAACTTTTAAGTAGTAACTGAATTGCAGATAATGCATATAACTGAGCTTCGATAAGTTTTTTAGAAACATATAAGCATAACGCCATGTTTCCCCGCAATTCTACTTGTTTTTTTAGTTGCCCTGATTTATCGGCAAATTGACAAGCTTCTCGGTATTCATTATAAGCAAACATTCCATAATCTATGCTTAAGCGTTCAAGTTCTTCAGAAGAGAAGCCCCTAATGTCGTCTACTTTTATTATTTTGAGTTTATTCCATTGTCCTTTGGATGCATTGCGATAATCAATCGAAATCTTCCAAAGCCTATTTGCCTTTTGTTTATGATAAGTTATGAAGCCTTTGACCCTTACAGTTTCTTCTAAGTCCTTTGACTATTTTTCTTTAAACTCTAGAATAATTTGGAATTGCTTTGCGCCTAAATCTTTGTGATTTTTATTGAGCCAGTATGGAGTATTAGGTTGGTTCGTTTTATCAGGATGGAAAAATAAAGAAAGCTCTCTGAAACGTTTGTTAATCCCTTCACTCGTAGGTAATATATTTCCAAATAAGGTGTCCCCTGTCTTAGAAGAGCTTAAAACACTTTGCATAAAATTGATTCTTTTTAGGTAGGCTGCTCCTCTAACAGATTTCTTTAAATTACCTAAAGAAT